GAAGCAAGTAGACTAGCACCTTTCGAAGACAGGCGTTTGAAGGAGCTGGTTGGGGTTGGTGAGGGAGTGAAGGAGCACTGGGAGACAGGAGGGGGAGGGAGAGAGAGCGGAGGTCAAGGTCGTGACAAGGGGCATAGAGGCAAAGAGGATAAGGCGGGATGTCCTGGAGCTGAAGCAAGGGTGACGTGGGAAGCAAAAACATTTCCACATCGAGCGAGTATGTTCCTCCCCCATTTGTGGCGTGAGGAAAGGGGAGGTGAGGATGGTTCTCGTCAACCGTGGGACCACACCAAGACTGAAATCCAGCGTCCACACGAAGACTCACCCGCAGTGTCCACCCTCCGCATTCCCACATCCCCCAGCAGGACGACAGGCGTCCGCGCCGGGTCCTTGGCCGCTTCGATCAGCTGAAATGGAGAAGGGGCAAAGGGAGAGAAAGAGGTGGGAAGGAGGGAGGGAGGGAGGGGTAGGAAAAATCGTTGGTGTAACACACGCCAACAACGGTGACATGTAATGATATAGCGCTTCTCCTCGTCTTCCGACTGTCTCTCCTCCCGCATCCCGCCCTCCCTCCCTCCCTGCCTCTTTCCCCCCCTGCTTCAGCACCTTCTTTCGCAGCGCGGTTACATAAGCACTGGTGCCTACAATGGTGAACTCAGCTTGTAGACACAGGTAAGGGAGGACTTCCAACACCAATTGAGAACTATCCATGAAGGAATTGATGGAGATGGACGACAGTGTGCGATCAGAAGAGTTGTTGGAGGGACGGGTGGATGTGATTGGAGGCGGTGGACGAAGAGGAGATGCGAGTCACATTGTGTTACCAAGACACATATTTGGTATAATAAGTATCACACCTACCTATCGATAGGAGTACCTCCCCTGGCATCCTTACGCAGCTTCAAAAACGCCGCGAGCTCCTCCTCGTGCTTCCTTTCCTCCTCGCTCCTTCCGTCATTCCCCGCCATTCCTTCTTCAGCAGAGAATGGAGGTATGCTGGACGCAGACAGTCGGCCAACCCTGGGACCTTCAGCACATCGTCCACCGTGAAAACTTGAGGTGAGGGTTTTTCGGGGAGAGGAAGAGGGAGGTTGCAATTTGGAAGAAGCAGATGTTGACGCTGGAAGGTGAGGTCGAACCAGCCATCCTTGCGATATTAAAGGCCAGAGAGCGAAGACTTTAAAGAAGACAAAGCCAGGCTGTCTCATGTTGCTGCTTTTCATGTGCATACGAGGAGGCGTGAAAAATGTGCACTGAATAAATCGTATACGACTCATCATCAACCAAGAGGAGCGGGACATAAGGCGAGCGCGCGTACTCTATCAAAAATCATCAACACACCTCATCCCTTATCTTCTAAACAACATTCCTGCATTCCTTGCAACACTTGATATGACTGCAAGAGTCGCATGTCTTCGCCTCGGTCAAGTGTCCGAGTAAGCTGCCCCCTCTCAAGCTTCACACTCACGTACTAATAGGAGGCCGAGATACGTCCCTGTCTGGAGGCGCTAGGCGAGAGAGAGCAAATCATGCAAATAAATCTCACCCAGATGGCAATTATTTCGTCGACCCTGACGTGATCATGCGCTTACATAGGTCATACCAGTCGCCTGTGAGACCTAACACGACCTATCCCTGCGTCCATGTAACAAGAACATACAATGCTTAACGAAGCCAGGGACTTCAATTTCCGAGACTGGTCGTGCCGGAGCTCGGACAGGTCCAGCTACCATTTCAAATGGAAATGACAACGATTTTTTCATTTTTAAGCTAGTAATACATCCACAAGGAAAAATTTAGGTTGTGTTCATATTTGTGTGAGGCAAGAAGGTTGTGGCCACAGCATGTGTGTGGTTACATTCCGGTATGGGCCCACTCGACAGGGGGCTGACCCCGCTTATCGGATACGACGGACCATGTGACATGACTTTCAATTTTTCATGATTTTGTGCCTTGTGAAGTACTGATTCTTGGTACCTATCTCCGTCGACATATAAGCTAGCTTACGCTCCAGCAGTATTTTTTGTGACAAGGCAAATAAAAGATATCCTAAAGTGTCGGCATCTGAGATAGGGTAATTCGAGGTCTTTTTTCATAAAGAATTTCGTACAAAGGATCATGAATCATAAGCTGTAGCCCAGCATTCAAGTAAAATGATAACTCATTGCCTTGCTAATGCCCTCTCAAAATTGTGTGAATGCAAATACAAATCGTGAATCAATGGATAAGAATAACTTGATGTATCAAAAAATGGTATTTTTTAAGAATTTATTGCGTGACGTTGCTAGAATGTGGGAAAGTATGGAAACTGTGTCTCGACTCAGTCAGATAAATATGATAGAATGATCAAGAAACAAAAATAAAAGGAAGATAGTATATTACTCCTTTTGTGGAGTTTTCTATGTTTCGTACCTGAGCGATCTCGGAAATATCATATCAGTGGTACTTTTTCATTTAATAGGAAACCTTGAAAAAAAAATCACCTGTTATTTTTTAAAAAGTAAACTACAATTTATTTCGCCTCAGCTCGATCTTTAGGTGGTCCTTCTTCCCCGGCTTTCAGCAGCGGATACCAAAATGTCAGAAGAAGAAGAAAATGCTGCTCTACTTATCAAATCTCCA